AAAAAAAAAAAAAAACTCCCATTCTAAATTCTTAAAAAAAAAAAAAAAAATTGAAGGAAGCATCAAAGGAGAACAAATATAGAAATAAGTGGTCAGGTGAGCTTTTTTTTTTTTGTCCTTTAATGTGTTCTGCGTGATTCACTCCTGTCCTTCAAGTGATGGAATTTTTCACATTATAGTTCTTGGACTCAGTTTAGCTCTGCAGCACATTTGAGGCGTGTGTAACTAGCGCTGAGCTTGCACTGCCTCCCATCCTACCTCGTTTTCCAAAAGGGAAATTCTTGGGTGTGAGAGTTCTTAACAAGGGAGTGAATGGTGGGACCAAAAAGGACCCTAAGACAGAAGGCTGGACAGCAGAGCCTAGGGCACCCAGAAAGGGAAGTCCAGACCCAATTACGAGGCTGCATTTCACATGGCACTTGTGATGAGGACATTACTCCCTTATAACCACATCCCAAAGCTTATACTTTTCCCACAGTGAAAACAGTTGCACACAACTTTTTCTCCATAGGCCCTTGTCTTCTTATATTGCACCAAGAACAAAATATAATACTTTTTAAAACTTTCTAGCCAAAAGAATATTAAATTCCCCTTAAAATGATTTTTGATGAAGTGTTGCAAAGTAAAGATGTTCTGATCCTTGATGATGGTTCAGAGAGACATGTCTGGCACGATGGGTTTCAATGAATTTAAAGAACTCTGGGCTGTCCTGAGTGGCTGGAGACAGCACTTCATCAGTTTTGACAGTGACAGAAGTGGAACGGTGGACCCTCAAGAATTACAGAAGGCCCTAACGACTATGGGTGGGTATTGCCGTCTCCAGATTGTCTATTCACAGGTAGTAATTTTTCTCTTTATTTCTAATTGTTACTTGAAGGCTGTTTTCTGTTGGGTTTATTTTCCTGTATGTGTGTTAGTAATTAAAGTGAGTTCTTGGTCTTAAAAGATGTGTCTGGTTATGTTCTCAGTGTCTCTTTCATGATCCTTTAACGTTTTTTGACGCATGGCTTTTCTCTCAGGATTTAGGTTGAGTCCTCAGGCTGTGAATTCAATTGCAAAAAGGTACAGCACCAACGGGAAGATCACCTTTGATGACTACATTGCCTGCTGTGTCAAACTGAGGGCACTCACAGGTGTGTTCTAGGAGGTTGCGTCACTGCCATGGGCCAAGACATCATTTTTCTGACATTTCATTTCTCAGTGCTTTGGAACTTTTAGTCTCACCATTCTATTTTTTTTCCTTAATATCTGAATTTTTAACATTTCTATCAAGCACTTCAAAAGGAGCTGTGGTGGCACAGTGGTTAAGTGCTCAGCTAATAACCAAAAGATTGATGATTTGGACCCTCCCAGTGGCTCCATGGAAGAAAAGACCTGGTGATCCCCTCCAGTAAAGCTAATAGCTTAGGAAGTCCTAGAGGGCATTTCCATACTGTCATATAGGGTCACTGTGAGTCAGAATCAACTCACAACACACATCAAGCATATCAGACAGAATCACAGCACATCAGAACATCTTTGATGTGGTGAAAAACATATGCAACTGTTCACTACGGATTAGTAAATAAGCACAAGTAAGACCTTACTTACCTAGTTTACTGGGTAATCATCCCTGTCAAGGATTGTACATTTGAAAAGAGCCTTTGATTCTGTGGGAAGGTAGGCTTGGGAAAGAGATACGTCAGCCACACCTAAAAGAAGAATCTTTGATGTGAAAAATGTGGCATTGTTCACTACACATTACTAAGTAAGCATCACTAAGCCTGTGCTTACCTTCCTTAATGGGTAATCTGACACTGAACAGAATAAATTTTGGGGTTTGTCAGAAATTTTTTTAGATTAGTAAGACAATGGTCTTAGCAAAATTTTACCAAACTATTCCAAAACATAACAAGCTAATTTAGGCATTTTTTTTTAAATAAAATTATGAACAGTATTCTGTGATATCTCCCTGTTGTTGTTATGTGCCGTCGAGTCGGATCCGACTCATAGCGACCCCTCCTTGGGTTTCCGAGGCAGTATCACTACGGAAGTAGATTTGCCCCATCTTCCTTCCGAGGAGTGGCTGGTGGGTTTGAACCGCCAGCCTTCTGGCTAGCAGTCAAGTGCCTTAGGCACTAAGCTATCAGAGCTCCTGATATCTCCCTAGAATGTGTAAAATATTTCAGAAGAGTGAAATTACTGTTTTAGTTTTCTTCTACTGGAAAGTAATTTAAAATGGTGTTCACATGGTTCAGATGTATCTGAAATAGGCTACTTCATTATCTCTGTTTAATTATGCCCTCTGTTATTTTTATTTCTACTGTATAGTTTTTTTGTTCATTGCTTTCATTTTTTTTATATATATATCTCCATTAGTATCTGGTTACATGATTCTGTGCAGTCTAACACTGGAGGGCAAACTTTTAATTAAAGTAGTTCTTCTGTTGGACAGAGCTCGAGAGGGTGGGATATGTGAATGTTTACGGCCATCCATCCATCCTAACTAAACAGTATCCCTATTAGTAAGAAGTTTGAAATTCTGTGCTTTTATCACATTTAGATAATCAGCTCAGAAGTCACACAGCTTTTACTAACTTTGCAGTAAAATATTTCCGTCCAGCTCCATATTGGGGGGAAAAGGAAGGCAAACTTCTGCATATTGTAGAAGTTATTGCATATTAAGCTGTTCTTAGTCATGTAGGCAGCTTTGCTGTGGTGTTTTGTTTATGTAGTCTGGTTGCACAATTTAAATGTTATTTCAGTTCGAATCCAATGCTAAAATAAGTATCTTGTGATTTTAGAAAAGGGGGAAACAAACCATAAATTTTCACTGTATTATTTTACAGACAGCTTTCGAAGACGGGACACTAGCCAGCAAGGTGTTGTGAACTTCCCATATGATGATGTAAGTCTCAGTGAATGAAGGACTGAGCAGATAATGGGCTTTGCGTAGAGTCCCTTTTAAAGTGTGCTGTTAAGGACAATTTTAAAAAGCCAGAGCAATCAAGGGAGTTGCTGACCAAAATTTAAAACTCAGTAATTTTAGAAAGTCCCTAGGCGGTGCAGACAGTTTGTAGTCAACTGTTAGCGTAAAGGTTGGTGGTTCCATCCCAGCCAGTATTACTGTGGAAGAAAAGGTCTGGTGACCTGCTTCTGTTAAGATTACAACCAAGAAAACGCTACAGAGCAGTTCTGCTCTGTAATGCACGCATTGCCATAAGCTGGAATTGACTCGCAGCAGCTAGAAACAATGTAACAAGAAATTTTAATTATAGTTTTCTAGTTTTTTATTTATGTAATTTGTGTTCTTTTCAAAACTGAACTGTTCTAAAATTGAGAAATTTCTTAGAGGAGAAAATCAAAAGAATGAGTTTTATTATTAGGCTTTTCTATAGTTAGATCACCATATACCAGTACTATTTGACTAGACCACTTCATTAAAGCCACCTCTGTCCAAGACCCAGCTTGTACCACTCATTAGCTGGGCCACTTAGGTTCCTTCATTCCTCTGAGCCTGTGAGTAAAGAGGATGTGGTAGTAATGCCTTCCTCACTGAGCTATTGTGCACTTTAAATTAGATACATCCTTAAAAAACATCATGTAGATATACTGTCTGCTTTTGCTTTCTCTACACAAATCTCAGTCACTGAGAAGTAGCTTAACAACTCAAAGCTGTACTTTGCACACTTAAGTTCTTCATTGAACATAAAACTCACCTTAAATCTCAATGTAAAACAAATCACTTACTGAACAGTCAGTGTAAATGAGGTGGGATAGGCTGTATAACCAGTGTAGACATAACCAAGTGCCATCTTTGATGTGTTAGTTGGATGTACATAAATAACTAAGCTATGAAGATGTTTTGTTTTTTCTCCATTTTTTTGTACAGCTAAAAAAGAAAAAAAATCACTTATAGAATTGAAATCACTGTGATTCTGAAATGTTTCTTCATTGAAGTGTGCAAAGATGTACATGTTTTTGGCTTAAAACTGTTACAGTTCTGAGTATACTTTTAAAAGGCTCCATGTTTATATAAATAAGCTTATTCCTTCTGTTAGAAGTGTGCTCCTTTGAGTGTGCATTAACTTCTCAGTTGACAGTCTCACTACTTCCAAAGGTCAAGAGGCAGTTTGTAGAGTGGAAAACTTTGGCCTCAGAAGGGGCCACTTAAGAGTTGTCTAAATCCCAGATGCTAGTTTCCTTATCTCCAAAGTAGGGATGATTAGCTTGGTTTTGTGTTGCTGCAAGAACTAATGGAAACATGGGTGAAACACCTGCCTCACTGGTGCTGGGAACCTGGCAGAGTCCACTGCTTTGTGTTTAGTTGTGAAGCAAACATTTCACAACAGATAGTGGAGCCTCTAAATTTGGGTTCTGCATTACAAGGAAGGGTCAAAGTTCTGTTTGCCTCACATGTATTTGCATGGTTGATTGTAATAAAGCAGATTTTAAGGGAATAAACTGTTGAAAGGCACACCTTTAGAGTAGTGAGGGAGTACTGTGCAGTTTAGAAGTCCCCATATGCCATTAACAGTGAAAACTCAAAACTGTTACTTGTATTTTTGGATTACTACCTTTGTCCATGACCATTTCTAGATCTCAATATTATTTAGAATTTAAATAATTCTTTATCCATTGGACTAAGATCAGTTTCCTGTAAAAAGCATACTTGTGAGAACTCCATTTTTTATATTAGATTGCTTGCTTCCCAAAAATCTTTCCATTGATCATTTACTTATATTTTAGAAACTTTTTTTAAATTCACAAATTAAATTAGAAAACCAAAATGCAAGCTGCCTAATACTGATTTTCCTCTCTTTCAGTTCATTCAGTGTGTCATGAGTGTTTAAATCAAGAGGAAGCTGTATGACCATTACCAACATTCCTCCTTTGCTCCTACTTGGCCTTCAGTGATGTGTGAACTTACTCTTCCCGTACCTTTAACAGCTTGTTGTAAAGGTTTCTTACTTTATGTACAGTTTATGTTTTGTGCTTAAATTTGATAATAAATTCTTTGGAATTTTAATAATATATGATCAGGACTATTACCTGATTTAGAATTTCCATGAGCCATTGTCGGTCATGCCTTATTTTCTTGCTGACCCACTTTTATGCAAATTGAAGTATGCACATGTTTAAGATGCATTATATATGTTTCATTGTAGGATACTAAAAACTTTTAATCAAATGAAAGCTTTTGTCTTCTCCCAGATGGGTTTTACATGGTATCAAAAGTTTTAACACAGAGTATTGCTATGTACATGATTTAGACTCTCTTGGATGTCAAAAAGGGAGCTCTGGTGGCATAGTGCCTAAGGCATTTGACTGCTAACCAGAAGGCTGGCGGTTCAAACCCACCAGCCACTCCTCAGAAGGAAGGTTGGGCAACCTACTCCCATAGTGATACTGCCTCAGAAACCCAAGGAGGGGTCTCTATGAGTCGGATCCGACACAATGGCAGAGAGTTTGGTTTTTGGTTTTGGATGTAAAAAGTGGAAACTTAGTACAGGTTTTAGGCTAATAGATATTTTGACAGCTGCATGAATGGAAGGGAACTTGAGTGATTATTTTCTGCCTCTTTTAAAGCCTTTTGAATACTTTGCGTGGTAAATACTATCTATCATTAAGTCCATCTTTTGCCGTCTTTCATGTAGACTGTAATTAAATATGCTTAAAAATCTGCAGTATGAGCTTATCTATGTTAAAAAGAAAACTGATAGAAGATGAAGGGGATATGTGAAAATACTAACTGAGGTTAATTTCAGTTAATGGGACTCTAGATGACTTAATTTCCTTTATACATTTCAGTATTTTCCAAGTTCTCTATACTGTAATGTGTACTTCCTTTCAAAATCAGAAGATGCTAATTTTTAAAATATTGATTCATCCATTTTGAATATGCCATTTGCTCACACATACATTAAGAATATATACTGCAAGAGGACTGGCAAGTTTGTACTGAAATTTTGATACAGTTACCACTGGGAGTCATAATCATGAGTTTCTTCCTTCATTCCTCTACTTTTCCAAAATAAGCAGGTAAATGAAGAAATTATTACTGTTATTTTTTAACCACAAGCTTTGAAGTAATATCTGGATCTAATCCAGGTTGTTTATGCCTCTTATTAAATTAAATCTTATTAAATATATGGTCTTTCTCATTGTAAGGAATCTCAGAGCCTGTTTTCTCATGTGGAAAGAGGAAAGATACCTGCTGGGGTAGCTGTCATTATTAAAAGTGTGTTGGTATAATGGGCACCAACAGTCTCTATTTCTTAAATTGAAAGCTGGTTTGATTTGCTTTCCTTTCCAAGAAAGCTTGACACATGAAAAATGAACTTATTCTACTGTCATCTTGTCCACAAAGTCTCTCTTATTTTAGGGTGCAATATGAAAGTTGTCAATCAAATAAATTATCAATTAGTTGTCAACCAGCAAAAATAAAACATCTTGTTAGCATCATTAGCCTCATTTTACTAATATGATTATACTTTCAAATATTGCTAAAACGTACATATTCGTTGACTAAGTGGTAAGGAAAAAGGCCCTTATTGACCCATGGTTATTAGTCATGTTTGAACCATCCCTACTCCTTCAGTAATTCCCAATATTTATAATAATTGTGGTTCTGAGTACAAAGCTACTATAAGATGTAAAACCATTGTCTCTGGAAACAATTAATTGAATTTTAAGTATTAATACATCACAGCAAGTATCCTTATCATTTCCACTCCTGCTTTCTCACCTTTTCTTTCTGAAAGCATGGAGCCTAGTCTTCATTGTGTCCCTATAGTTACAAAAGTTTCCTTCCCCTTGACAAATTTGACGTATCCATCCCCTTTCTTTAATTACAGCTGAAGTCTTCATTACAAGTGAATCTCATGTTGCCTTATTTCTATTTTATGTCTGGTTCGGTGTTTCATTCATTGTACAATTCCAGTGACACCTCACCCACTTGCTTCTTGGTTTATTTTTTTCTTAAAGCATTTAGTTGGAGGCTTGAGTTCATCTAGTTGAATTTCTCAGTTACTTGGAGAAGTAACAAGGTTCTTCTAGTTACTTCAACTCAGGATTTAACTTTATTTTGGAGATGTGCAATTTAGGCTTGCACTTCAGAAGACTGCATGATTTATAAAACATTTAAAATAGTTCATGAACTCCTACAGGAATGTAGATGCAGGAGACCTGAGTTCCTGGGGGCAGCTGGAGTCGATCTGGATCTGAGCTGTCATACTTAATCACAGCTCTCACTCCTGTTGAGCCAGTGGAGTTTAGACTCCAGCATGATGTTCCAAACCGCCAGTCCATGAGATGGCACAGGAGCTAACACTGCTGTCTCCTTTAAGCTAGACTCTGCTTTTGCTTAACTGAATGTTTGTTACTGTTTCAGTGTTCATCTTAATTCCTATAATATAAATAGAAATGTAAGAAATGGAGGTATATATAATCACCATTTTTAAAAATCTCATACTAAATGTACAAACCCTTAGCCAGTGAAATTCTTCTGTTTTCCTCACATTAAAACAGTACCTGGAGCTCTGGTGGTGTAGTGCCTAAAGCATTTGACTGCTAACCAGAAGGCTGGTCGTTCAAACCTACCAGCCACTCCTCAGAAGGAAGATGGGGCAATCTACTTCCTTAGTGATACCACCTCAGAAACCCAAGGAGGGTCGCTGTAAGTAGGATGTGACTCCACAGCAGTGAGTTTTTGTTTTGTTTTGTTTTATTTTGACTACTTATAACTACTTTTTTCCTCTACAACGTATGAGCTGAAGGCAAGGAAATTGCAAATGCCAGGGTAATGACTGGTGGGTAAAATGGTGATTGCCAGAAAGTGTCTCAGGCCAGGGTGGACCAGTGTTTTAGGCAGTGAGCTCATTTATGTAAACTGAACCCATCGAAGTCCCAGTGCTTTGGAGACCGGCACAGGAGAACATGTTAAATAAGCATGTTATATATTAAGTATGAGGAAAGGCAGGTGGACAACAGAAGGGTTCTGCCAATCAGCTGAGGAAACTGCCCAAGTCTCCTAGGCTTACTAGAAGACTGTTCTAGTTCTCATATGTGGTTGGTCTCTTTTGGAGCCATGTGGAACAGAAAAGGAAGAAATAAACCTCCAAGAGCTCCTCCAGAGAGTGTCTGAGAGAAACCATGGCTTGGGGGGGGGGGGAGGAAAAAGATTAGAATTGTGCATCAAAATAACATAAATCTTTTATTGAAACTCACTTTACTGATGTTACAATGAGAGTAACATAGAAAACTATGGTATCTTATTAGCTTCAGAAGTGAATACTAATAAAATTGTGCCAGAAACCTGAACAAGTTACAGTGACCTTTAAAAACAGTAAGATTTTATTTACCTACAATGTTAGAACAATTACATAACTGGAACAGCCATAAAACAAATCACATTTGCTCAGGAAAGCAATAGCCATGTACATTTCAATTGCTGTTTGGCAGAACCAGGTAATTTTACAAATGGAGTAAGAACCTGAAGAGCAGAGTAGCAGAGAGAATGTAATGGTAACATGATGCAAATCTAAGTATATACACGTGATTACCTGGATTCCGCAAGTGTAAAACTATGCTGCTATTGACACTTCCCCAGGGGGTGGCTTCCATTCTCTGTAGATGGGACATCACCCCTTGAAGACAACAGATGTGGAAAAACACTAGTACACAGCTCCACTGATTAACAAACTGCAGTGGTTAGGTAGAACACCTTTTTTGGAGGGGGAGTCTCTTCCAGCAAGTTAAAAAGAAAAAAAAAAGACAAGACATATATACAAGTATATATTTCGTCATTGTGAATAATAAACCTTTTGTTGAGCACTTTTGTAGTTTGTGTAAAAAAAAAATTTTTTTTTTTTTTAACATATAAAAACAAAGGTATTGGGTCATTTTTACCCATTGAAAAAACTGGTTGTAGCATCACAGTTTGATTTTGTGCTGGATTTAAAAGGAAAAGTGGAGTTTCTTAATCAGGCAGTGATACACAGGTACAATTTAGCAGGAACTCTTGTACTATTACTGAATAAATGCATTAATTCATATCAGCACGTTCTGTATTGTGGTATCTGGTATAACTTAGCACCACTATATTTAAAGATGGGGCTATTTACATTATTATTTTAGAGCTTAACCCTCAAAACTACTCATCCACAGTCTGAAACTTCATAAAATAAGAGGCCAAGGCCTAAAGTAAATGTAGACTAATATATTTTTGAACATACTTTTCCTCATAAACTCTTTGAAAACTTTATTACTTTGTGCAATATCTTTAAAAGATTACTTAGTCTCATTGTATGCCTTTTGTGGGGAAAAAAAAATATGTGCATACACACATATGCACAGTTTGCCTTAGTTTTTGATTTCAGGGATACCTAGGAAGATGAAGTGTTGATCCATTTCACCAAACCCCTCCCAGCGTGCACAGGTTCTTGGAACAATGCAACAGGGATACCACAGTGGTGACTGGCTGTGCTATTGACTAGACCATGAGTTACTTGTAAACCCTAGGTCAAAGCTGGTCATTCAGTCTTAGGCACCCTGTCCCTCTCCCTGCTGCCTCCCCAGTGGCCATCTTCTGCAATTCTTGCTTACCTGGCTTTGGAGCTCTCATGTGAATCTCCATTCTGCTCCTATGCCAGGAATAAATGCTGGACCACCTCTCAGGGCTCCCTGTTTCTTCCTCTTCACATACAGGGCACAAGAATGGGCTGGATACTTAACAATGTAAAAAATGGATACTTTATGAAAGTCCTTAGCTCTCCCAGGAGGAAACTTGCTGCACCCCAAATCATAATATTAACCACTCAGAAAATGTCTTAGGTAAAAATAAAAGTTTGGGGCCCAAATTAAGTCCTAGCCCATAGAAATGTTAGCCTCTTTATATCTAATAGAGTGAGAATAAGAAATTTATCTTGACTCCATGTATTTTAAAATAAAAAGTATTTGGGTGGCATGCCCATATGTAGGTTTGGTAGATAGTATTTCTACATATGTGTTTGTATGTGCTATAAGAATGTCCATAATGTAGTAGAGCTGACACAGGACAGTTATGAAAACTTCTTAGCCATAACCAAATACCTGGAGAGAATGAGTTGCTGGGCCTGTGGGCTCAAGACCATAGTCACGGGACAGCAAAGTCAACTGGTATAACACAGTCCACAAAGATATTGTTCTACAAAGATACTGTTGTACATCCTACTTTGCTGAGTAGCAACTGGGGTCTTAAAAGCTTTCAAGTGGCCATCTAAGGTACAACTATTGGTCTCTCCTCATCCAGAGCCCCAAAAATTAAGAAAATCAAAGACACATGTTAACAATTAGTCCAGGAGACTAGTGGACCATGTGAACCTCAGCCTCCATGACCCAATGACCAGAAGAACTAGATGGTACCTGGATACCACTGCCAACTACTCAGAAAGGGATCACATTAGGAGAACATAGAAAGTGGGAGAAAAGTGTGGAATAAAACTCAAAAAAGACCAGTCTTCCTGGTCTGATAGAGACTGGCTGAACCCCCAAAATATGGCCCTTAGTCACTCTTCAAGCCTGGAACTGAACTCAATCCTGTGGCTCACCTTTCAAACAAACAGTAGATCTATGAGGTGAACAATAACACCAGGGGGGTATGCACTCCTTCAGACAATCAACCAAAAGTGATCAAAATGGCAGCACTTGCCCAGGCATTAAGCTCAGAAGGCAAGGAAGGGGTGGGAAAGAAAAGACAAAGGGAAATGGTGACTACAGGGAGCAAGTGGGAAGAATGCTGTTACATTGTGGGGACTGTAATCAAATGTCATGAAACTATGTATGAACTGTTGAATGGAAAACCAATTTGCTCTGTAAACTTTCACCCAAATCACAATAAAAAGGTTATTTAAAAAAAAAGTGGGTGGCAATTTTAGAGGAAAGTAAAATGGAAAGAAAAGAATCAAAAGCATAAACGTTGATTATTATGCTGTAATGGGAGTTTGAGCCTTTCATAGAAAATTCATCCCGACTTGTCAAATGGTAAAATGATCCCTAACAGACGCTGCCTGTATGGGTGTCCCAAACAGACTAGGGCTGCAGCCGCCTAGGCTCTGTTTGTTCCTGTCGATTCTGAGCCTGCTTCTCCCCTTCCTGCAGAGCTACCCAGGATCCTCCCAGTATAGCCCCTTTAAGTTTATATAAAATAAGGTAAAATAAAATACTCTTTTCTTTAGGTAAGAATTTATTATCATGTGGAATAACATAAGGAAATTCTTAAAGCACTAAACACCTAAGGTTAAAATAGAACTACATGATAATAGGAAATGAAGACTTGGTGAAATGAGTGAACTTGATATTGAAACACTGAAAGAAGTGACTAGAAATGCCGTATTTCTTCTGGCCCAAAGGTAAAAGTAAAGAACCAAATCTAAAACAAGTAAAAGTTAAAGTACTCACTAGAGATCTGAGACAATGGATATGATTAAATTAAGTCTGCAAGAGGACTCAACGTAAAAGAAAAAAATGTAAGCCTATTAAGGAGTTCAAACATAAATAGTTCTTCTCTGGAAGTGAACAGGATATCTAATTTTATCTTTTCAGGAACTTCTTCAATTTTATATTTAGAAATTCTATGCTTATATTCTATTATATGCAAACAATTTTAAACACTTGTAAAAAAAAAGAAACTAATGTCACTTAATAAGCACCAACTTCAAACTAAAAAAATATTTTAGCATTTAACCTTGTATTTGCTTTATCAATCAATATTTTTAAAAGAAACAGTTCTAAGAATAGGTCATTCCTTGAAACACTAGGTTTCTTTAAAAAATACAGCAACCACAGTAAATTGAAAGCACTCACTATGTTGCACTGTGTGATAAGCACTGGTTTATCCCTTTCCACGGATTACCTAGAGAGATCATTCTAGCTGCAGACTTCAGCAGATGCTACTTCCTGTCTGAAGAAAGAGTGGCTCCATGCAGAGACCAGTTGGTCTGCAAATCAGTTTCTTAAGGCCCTGGTTACCTCACACCTACCTACTGATTCTCTGAGTGGAATGATTGGAACTGTCCCTTTAAGTTAGGATTTACTGCACTCTGTGACTAAGGATAACTGGACCATGTCAGGTATCAGGGCTGTCATCTATGCACAAAAATTTAGAAAAGAGGAAAAGGCATACAATGGACATAAAGGCCAAATAACTACTGCCCTCTGTTTTGTATCACAATTTTAAAATGGATTAGGGGATATAAATGTTTGTTAGTAACATGATACAAACTGCTACTTGGCCTCAAAGTTTCTCTTCAAATTAAATACTTACTAATAAATAATGCTGTGCTTGTATCTAGTGCCATGCATCATTCTCTCTGCCTCAGTGGATGAAATGTCACAGATACTTAAATACCTCTAGAGCATCAACCACGAGTACTCATAGATATTTCTTGAAAATATCCATTGAGATTCTACATTTGTCACAGAAATCTGCAAATGGTTCTAAGACTATTTAATCATGGAACACAGAGTGTACACACGGACTAGAACATTAAAGTTCCTAAACTGAAAATTATAATCTCACTGCATGTTAAGAAAAAAAAAAAATAATTCATTCAGTTCTATATGAAGGTTATTAAATCCAAGGTAGAGGACTGACTATAAACTACCCACCTCTAGAACAACCATGCCTCCCAAAAGGCACATAATAATGATTCTCATGTGAAATAATAATTTTCATGTAAAAATAATTAAAGAGACAGAAAAACAGACTTGAGGAGGGAGAGGGAGAGTGAAAAGGAGATCTGTTGACTACTTAGTGAGCCATTTATAGATTCTTTCAATTTAGGGCTTGTGTAACTATAACTAGGAAGCATAAATATGTTACATTCAAATCTATAAACTCTTTTATAGTCAAAATAAATCCTGTAACATTAGCTTTTTATACACTCAATACCAGAAAATATTCAACGCACATTAAAAAGTGATCGTGGTCAAAAGCCACTTTATTTGCTACATCTTGAAATCTGTCTACCCTCCTGTCTTTGGCTTGAGTCATGTGGCAACACTGCCCAAGCAAGGTTCACCCAAGCCTTAGTCTGAGCAATTGTTTCATTATAGTACCAGCAATCACATCCCTTCCTGTCATTAAAAAAATGCTATTTGTATCATATATTTTAGGATGCTTACTTTTTAAATATTCTCAAAGACTTTCAGAAGAGAGGTCTATTACAGAAGAAATAAACATACAGAGTATGAAACATTGCTTTCTAATTTGATGTTTCAGTTTAGGCATCTAAGATGATTAGTCATGAAGACAAAATGGATTTTGTCCATAGACATTACTGGGAAAAAATAAATTGAGAAATTATTTCCAAAATCTTGCCTGCAGATTCCATTCATCTCAAGAAAAAGTAAAGAAAATGAGGAAATTCAGAAGAAATTCACATACAGAACATTTGACTGATCCTATCAATTTACAAGTTCACTAGAGTAGCCTTCCTAAGCTAGCTTTCTTTTCACCAGACAGCTAGCTGCGTTATAATGGCTACCAAACTTTGGTTTTAAAGGAGGGGCCTTTAACATAGATTTTTCATTTTTCTGTAGATTAAAAAAATATAGGGTCCAACACATCAGATTCTTTCCCCTGCCAGCTATGTGTGTAACTTCACAGTTGCTGCACACCTGTGCCTTTAGGCTCTTGAGGCTTTCCAGTCCAGACTGGAGAACCTTCCATCCTCTCTCGCTTCAAAATCAGTGCTGAATGACCTGTTGGGACTTCTTAAGTCCCACCAATAACAAGTATCTTTAATAAACAGTGTAAAAGTTGATTTTGTTTAAACAAGTAATTTCACCCATCAGGGTAGTTAAAAAGTTTTTTTTTTAAGGAATAAAACTGTAGGCCATAAAAGGTTAGATTATTGGCAAATTGAAAGCTACTGATTCACTAGCAACTGTAGTCTCGTGTATCTTTGGTGCACTTGTTGAATCTCAGCAGGACTTTCTGCTGTGGGGCTTACAGGCCTCCAGTGTGAGACTAGCAGAAGTTCTCTGGTAAGGTAACAGCTGCTGAGGCAGGCAGGCATTGTATGCCACAAGAGGAAAAGTGGACAGGCTGGATCAGTCATCCCCAGGGACTAGCTAACCAGCAGCAGTGTCTCAGGGCAGGACAGCAGCTGCACTATTGGGCTCCTGCTCCAGCAGGCTGTGGAGGCCATAGGAATTGCTGGACATCTTGTTCTTTTGCTCAATGAACCACTCAATAAAACTGCCTCCAGACTGTCTATAATTTAAAGAGATATCACATGTTTTGGACAAATACTAATTATGGAGAGACAAATTTACAGCACTGATCACTATTATTTACAACATCTGTGTACAATCTTTAAGGACCATTTGATGGATGATGATGATGTGATTTGTAATAGACTGTTTTTAGGCATTTGGCAAAATACACTTGTGTGTAACAGCTGTTTTTCTTTTTAATTTTAAAAATGTTTACATATGTACAATTGTCCGTGTATGCTGCTATAAGTATGAAAAGTAAAAAATAAAACAAAAATTAAAATACATGTTTAAAGTTAGATATGGGATATTGGCCTCTCAAAGCTTAAAAGTCCTGCAGAAAGATCCTATATGCCTTAGCCCCGCATGCTAGTTTCTATTATGGGATGTTGTTTCCTTACATGTGGAAAACAATAAACAGAAGCTTCATGCACATAGCATTACTGTCTACAAGGAGAATGTGCTTCAGAATGTCAAGTTCTGAATCCACTGTAGTCCCTTAAGAAACTTGCTACATTTGGGTCATGTGAGTTAATTTTAGTGATAGTTCTACTTATATCTGTCATGCGGATTATCCATTAACATACCAGTCCCTTTATTGTTCTGTGTTATAATATAACATTTCTTTTCATGGTTCAGTTAAATCCTAAGCCAATGACAAAAAGAAAATGATATCTAGATGTGATAATCAGCTTCCTCTCCTCTGTGCCATCTCAGAGGGTCTTTGTGTTGTCTGAAGAGCAGATAGATTTGCAGTGTTTCCATGAGGCTGGGTTTCTATAAAAGTTGAAGTAAACAGTTTCGATGTGTCACATGTAAACAGTTGATCTTAAATGGATGTCTCCCATAGCTGCATAACAGAGAAGAGCAAAAATATACATTATGAAAACAGGAAACATACATTCTAAACTATGAAGATGAGAAGTATTTAATTGGTTCCACTCATGTATATATGATTATGGATACACACTCTTGCCAAGTCTAATGAATTCATAAAATAAACACTCTTAAGTTTTAGCTTTCTCTCTTTGTTCTCTAAACCTGTGCCTCAACCTTTTTAACAACTGCTTCCTTTTGATACAAAAAAACCTCACTTCCTCATTTAATTTACTTGAAATTTTGAATAAATATTTTATCTAAAACAAAATAAAATAATTTAAAATATTATATTCAACTACCTATGTCCTTTTCCCATAGAATTCTGATACAACCAGTTAGAGCAGTTATCATCAACTTCAGGTGCTTATCACTATGATCTGGGGAGATTTTTAAAGTTCCACTGCCCAGGCACAACACTAAGTCAAGTAAATAAAAATCTCTCTGGAGGGGACACATTTATCAGTGTATTTTAAAAGCTCTTCCAGTGGTTCCCATATTACAGTCAAGACTGAGAACCACTGACTCCAGAGAAATGTGATTCTGTCAATAATACCATCACTCTTTTGATAATTACTGAGTGGGCCTATGACCAAGGCCATACAGTCACCAATTCCATTCCCACCTCCTAGAAAAGTATTCTGTCTCAAGAATTAATGTTATTAGGGTAGAACAATACATTCAGGGCATGATGTCACATCTTCAACTCCTCCACCCTTTCCCTCTCCTTGCCCCCATCACCAGCCTGTTGAGCTCCATCTTCTACAGTGTTCAGTAATTGCCTTAATGGACTGAAAGCAACTCTGGCACAATTAAATATGAATCCAATTAAGTGCACCAGAGAAGGAAGGCCAATTAAAAAAAAAAAAAACCAAGATGATAAAATATGTTTCCAGGAAAAATGATATGGTATAATTATTATAAGCATAAACAAAGCCTGAGACCAGTGTGACTTCAATTGCATCCAATATCCATCCAAATTCCATTTTTATTGGACATTTGGGACATGTTATTGTATACCTAATGAGTTTCTGGGAAAGAAAAAGCCAAGTGACTAAGTGGATGTTTCTATGTAGGCTCCAATAATATTTTCTCTCAAACCTTCATGGAAATATTGTTCTGAATATTTACACTGGCTACCCAACAAGCTACTTTTGCTATCATTCATATATGTGTGTGTGTCTGTCTGTGTGTATATATATGTTGTTGTTGTTGTTATGTGCCGTCGAGTCGGCCCCGACTCATAGCGACCCCTCCTTGGGTTTCCGAGGCAGTTATCACTACGGAAGTAGGATTGCCCAACCTTCCTTCCGAGGAGTGGCTGGTGGGTTTGAACCGCCAGCCGTCTGGTTAGCAGGCAAGTGTCTTAGCCACTATATGTATGTGTGTGTGTGTGTGTATATATATACACACACACACACACATATATCTTTATACGTATTTTTCATCAAAAAGATACCTCCCGACTTAAGCCCTTTAGAAACCAAAGGTATCCTCAGTGTGATCTCTCACAATGTGAGGGGTCATCGTGAGCAGGCAATACTGGTTGGTGGAGAGGACTGAAAAGGAAAGGTTAAGCAGGGACTTGCAGAGTACCTGTCACAAAGGGGAAAATCTGAATTGATGTTCAGATTATGTTGTAGAGTAATGAAGAGTTTAGACTTTGGCCTCAGAGAGCCTCAATTTCCTCATATATGGTTATAAAGATTAAATAATAAGTGGCAACTTAGAGAAAGAAGAAAGGAATAAATGAATGGCATTGGGGAAACCCGAGTCATTACTCTCTAAGTGAGGAAAGAGGAACAAAGAACTCTAAACTACCACTTGGAAAAGACCTGACTTTGGCATGTCTGTGTGGCTGCAACAGAAGGGTCTTGCTGATAGGAAGATCATCTTGCTTGGATCTTCAGAGCCCAAAAAGACAGCCCTGAGACAGGTACCACCCTTTCTGGAAGACTCTCCCACAGAGGTTCATGAGGATGTGCCACAGGGGATAGAATCAATCAGGCCTTTCACACAACCAGCCCAGTGGCCACAGTCCTCATAGGACATTCTGCTCAGCCCAGGAAAGGGGCTGTGGGCCAGCCATTTCTTCTGGGGAGCTGTCACTTTCACAGGCTCCCATGTGAGAAGGTCTCCAACAACCTGAATCATGACATGGCAACAGCAGAGACAGTGTCATTAACTTGATGAAGCAAAATAGCGATGTAGGCAATTCAGTGGGGAAAAAAGTGAAGTACTGTACCTGGACAATTCCCCAGAAGGAGAAGATTTCAATTTTGATCTCCTTATCACAAAATCATATGACAAACAATTGAATTCCTATAACAAATCTTTTTTAAGGCCAGAAAGCTAAGTACTAAGAATCTGAGTCATCTTCTTTTCTATCTTTTACCATTTCCCACATTAGCACATAAAGGTAATTTTTTATGATTAACAAAAACAACAATGATTTTTTTAAAGTCATTTTTATTACAGTGATCTAATCAGTGATTGATATTTTCTTACTGGCTATGGCGTTGACTGAGTTAAAATTTGAATGATACATGTTTACTCCAAAACCCCTAATTTATATTCAGAATCACAGGTACTGACACATCTTTCAAAACCTACAAGCAGGAACTTCCAGTAAGATGGTGGAATAGGCAGACAAGCTACACAGACCCTCTTCAACAAATAAAAGAGAAACCAATTGACAGAGATACAGAAACCAATCCTGGAAGTATACAGAAATGGATTAGGCATCAACTAGTGGAAAAACCTGAATGAAAACATCCAGTACATAGACCGTCAGAGCAATGGACCGTCAGCTACTCTGACAGAACCAACAGCCTGAATATTTCCAAGTGGTGTTGGACCCTGAGAATTGACTTAAAGATCAGCCCTGGTTGCCAAGGGCTGCAGGAACAACTGAGCTGGTGGCCTATGACTAGGAAGGTAAATAGCAAGGAAGGAGAAAGCCTGAGCTGTGGACTTTCGGCTGTCTGGAAGGTGCAGCCATTTTGAATGTTTACAAGTGGTGGCCATTTTGGATTGTAAAGTGACAGCATTCTCATTTGGATTTCAGGGACCAAAGAATAGGCTCCATTTGCCAATGACTGCAGGGATATACGGGAGGGTCACAACAGAAAAGGAGACACATGGTGAGTGTGTAAGTGCTGCCAACTAGCAAATAGAGGAGCACAGCATAGTACCCTGCTTATGTAGATAACATTAAAAAAAAATGAAAATCGTGGGCAAGTGACTCCATCATACAGTCACCAATTAAACATAAACACAAAAATGACACAATGCCTTGGAGACAACAGAGCATCACAGTCCACACAAAGAAGTAAGATAAAGCACGAGAAACAAGGGACCAGGATACAGACCCAAAACACATCCCTGAGGAAGACACAGCAGTGAAACTCTCTGATAAGGAATTTAAAAGAATTATATTTAAGTATCTTCAATGAATTGAGAGGCAGATCAAGGAAAACACTGACAAACCTGAGGAAAACAAAGAAAAAACCCTACAACAATTTCTAAAGACAATACAAGAACAAAATGGCAAAATAAATGAAAAATTAGAAAAGATACAAAATCTACATACAGAAATCTAGAAGATCAATACTAAATTTTCAGAAATAGATAACACATTGAATGAGCAAAAGAGTAGAATTGAATCAATGGAAGACAGAATTAGTAAGACTGAAGGCAAATACCTCAATACGTCTTTGGAAAGCAATCAATCAGAAAAGAGATCAAAACAAAATGAAGAAAGACTAAGGATCAATACAAAATGAAGAAAGACTAAAAGGAGTAACCTACATGTAATCAGAATTCCAGAACAGGAAGAGACAAAACCACAGAGAAAATTGTCAAAGATTTGTTGGAAGAGAATTTTCCTGGTATGATGAAAGATGAGAACATATCTATTCAAGAAGCCCAATGAACCCCAAACAGGACAGACCCCAAAAGAAAAACACCAAGACATATCATCATCAAACTCACCAAAACCAAAGACAAAGAAGGAATTCTGAAAGCAACATGGGAAAAACAAAAAGTTACCTACAAGGGGCAACCAACAAGACTGAGCTTGGATTTCTCGGCAGAAACCATGCAGGAGAGAAGACAATAGGATGGTATATATAAAACCCTGAAAGAGAAAAATTTCCAACCAAGAATTATGTAGCCAGCAAAACTGTCCCTCAAATATGATGGTGAAATTAGGCCATTTCCAGATAAGCAGAAATTAAGGGAATTTGTTAAAACCAGACCAACCTTACAAGAGATGCAAAAGGAAGTCCTTTGGACAGAGAACCAGCAACAGCCAACAACTGACCATTTACACACATGATGACATAACCCAGAAATCAACCCAGTTATGGAAATATCCAAAGTAAATAAGCCTTCAAGATTGTAAACAGGAAACCAGAGACATCAATTGGCAAATGAGGACAACTAAAAACCAAAAAGAGGGAAAAAATTGTGTATTTACAGAACTTCTAAATGGCAGGGAAGTCAAAACAACTACAGGCTAGAACGGACTGTTCTAAACCTGAGAAGAAAATTATAAATCATGGGGTAACCTCAAAGAAAAATGGTAAACCTTCACATCAAAATAAAAAAGAAGACCAGCACAAATATTTAGCAAATACTTAAACAACAGCAACTAAAGAAGTGATAACATGATTCATAAACAAAATGAGCTCAGCACAGAAAATTATATGGAACAAGGAAATCAACACCATGAAAAAGCACATAACAAAATGACAGCAACAAATTCATACCTGTTGATAATTACGTATCTGACAAGGGACTTAACTCTAAAATTTATAGAAAATGCCAACACCTCAACAACAAAAAGATTAACAATCCAGTTAAAAAATGGGCAGAAGACATGAATAGACACTTCACCAAAGAGAATTATTCAGGCAGCTAGCAAATACATGAAGAAATGCTCACGATCATTGGCCATCAGAGAGATGCAAATCAAAACAACAATGGGATACCATCTCACCCCAGCACTAATGGCAAAGTTCAATAAGACAGAAAATAACAAATGCTGGTGAGGATGTAGAGAGATTGGGAGTCTCATACACTGCTGGTGGGACTGTCAAATGATACAACCATTGTGGAAAACAGTATGGTGATTCCTTAAAAAGCTAGAATTAGAAATACCATTTGAGTCAGTAATCCTATTACTAGATATATATCCTAAAGAAATGAGAGCCAGGACAAGAGCAGATATATGCACACCCATGTTCATCGCAGCACTATTTACAGTAGCAAAAAGATAGAAACAACCTATGCACACATCAACAGAAGAATGGATAATCAAACTATGGTACATACACACAATAGAATACTGTGCAACCCTAAAGAATAACAGAACCAGCAAAACACCCCATTACATGGATGAACTTGGAGGACATTATGCTGAGTGAAATAAGTCAATCACAGAAGGACAAATATAGTATTAGTTCATTATTGTAAAAAGTTAAGGAAAGGTTTATATATGGAAGGAAACTTTCTTTGTTGGTTACCAGGGGTGGGAGGGGAGGGGAGGGAAACACTGCAAAAAAAAAAAAAAAAAAAAGTGCATTGACCCATGTTACTTTAGCTTTATGTATTTCACTGTACATAAATTATATTTCAATAAAAAGCATTTAAAATAAACAACAACAACAAGTAAAGGAACGCAAGATACGTGAGCAAATAAACTTGTCCAGGCTTTTAAAGTTTTAACTTTTTTTTTTCTTTTTATGTTATTCCTAAGAACATGATTGTATAACAGAGCACAACAGAGCCTAGATAGCAATAAAGGGAATTATTCTTCAGCTCTATCTTTCACTTAAGCCTCTGATGGCTGGCCTCAAATTTCACATAATGGATGTGTTCCGGGAAGGCTGTGAGACAGAATGGAACCATGATTAAACTATGAAAGGGTACTAACTAATTAAAAGGAGCTCTGGTGGGGTAGTGCCTAAGGCATTTGATTGCTAACCAGAAGGCTGGCGGTTCAAACTCACCAGCCACTCCTTGGAAGGAAGGTTGGGCAATCTACTTCTGTACCAATACTGCCTCAGAAACCCAAGGAGGGGTCGCTATGAGTTGGCTCCAACTCCACAGCAGTGGGAGGGTAACTAATTAAAGGAAACTTTAGGTGATTTGGTTTTGTATGAAAAAAAATCAGTTCCTCCATATATGTTTTTATATTTGGCACTTTTTAAAATGTAAAAAGCAGCTAAATTGAGCCACATACTTAGCCATATTCTTCCAATATTTTTTCTATTACCAGTGGCAACATATTATCTACAATGAATAATTAAAGGTATAAATAACACTGCTGAATAATACACACCAAATATCTTTAGAATTTATCAACATAGATTAGTAATTTACATGTAGAAACCCATGGCCGTAGAGTAGATTCTGACTCACAGTGACCCTATAGGACTGAGTAGAACTGTCCCATAGGGTTTCCAAGGCTGTAAATCTTTACAGAAGTAGACTGCCTCATCTTTCTCCCATGGAGCGGCTGGTGGGTTCTAACTGCCAACCTTTTGGTTAACACACCTGAATGCTTTAACCACTATACCACCAGAGCGCCTTTACATACAGAAGTCTGAACCAAAAAAACCCCAAGAATCTTATTTTCAAGTTTAATTTTATCAATTATCTTATGAAGAAGTAAAATGGCTACCTCTTTTAAAATGTGCGTTCCTAGATAAATGGTAGGAGCTCTGGTAGCATAGTGCCTAAGGCACTTGACTGCTAACCAGAAGCCTGGTGGTTGAAGCCCACCAGCCACTCCTCAGAAGGAAGGTTGGACAATCTACTTCCATAGTGATACCACCTCAGAAACCCAAGGAGGGGTCGCTGTAAGTCAGGTCTGACTCGATGGCAAATAACAACAGATAAATGTTAATGACTGAGGATTTCAGCAAATGGAAGAGGCTTCCACATACCCTGGCACTTTGTCGGTTGGCTTTCTTCTCTTCATCGGGAAGTGGAGGCATTGGGTAAGGGTATTTTCTGCTGGAGGCAATAGACCCAGTTGATGAAGAAGGAGACTTGGCAGGTGATAAAGTCCTGAGATGTTGAGAACATATAAAATAAATATCATTTGACTGCCTAATCTCAATTTTAAAGATCTGAAAAGTTAAATTCATAACAAACCCTCTGAGTTCTACTTGCATAGGCCACTACTGCACAGGTTGACTACTGGGACGTTATTTGTAATCACTGTAAGGCCGTAATTTTATCTTCCTAACATCATAACTGTAATGAGTTACTTAGATATTAGTACAAAGAATCACACTTTTCAACTTAAAAGCCTATAACGAAGTTTTCTATAGAACAGATTTTAAAAATGCTAAAATAGAAAAGAAATAATATATCCTAAGAGCTCATAATGTTAAATTAAGTGCATAATACATTTAGATACTGGCTTATTTTTACCACTTAGTGTATTTTTCAAAAAGTACAGTAATTCCAATTATATCTTAAGATCTTAAAATGCAAAACAATTAATATAGTTATTAGTTGCTAAGTCACACACCAGTTTACACAAAACTCATGCATTCAAAGGCCAGTGTGTTAGTTGTGAAAGAACAAAGGCAAATACAGGGAACTTAATAAATTAGTAAACATGCAAGCAATAAAAGTGCAGAGTTCCAGCCAAACAAAGAGTCTGATGAGAACACAGAAAAATGGTCTGATTAGTCCCTACAATCAGCATTTCTCTACAGGAGAGGATTCTAAGCCATAGCAGTAGATCTTGGTAACTCATGTATGGTACACTTGTCATGTCAATAAGGTGGCTACACTTTATTGACTGAAATTTTACTAAAACTAAAGAAAACAACAACAAAAACCCTTCCTACTCTGAGAACATGTGTTCTTTTTATCATAGAGATGATTCCATATGAAGTCTAAGTAAGCTTTTGATGGGTTAGGCTACACTTGTTTGATTTTGCAGTTGTTGTTATGTGCTGTCGAGTTGGCCCCGACTCATAGCGACCCCTCCTTGAGTTTCTGAAGCATATGCAGTGGTAATATCTGTGACTAAGATGGGCACACTGGAAAAGCCCATACTTGTTATTAACTTGCTTTTAAAGTGAAAAACAAAACTAAACAAACAAACAAACAAAAAAAAACAGCTGAGAGTGAAAAATACCAACTCACAACATACCAATGGAAAACAGAGGTGATAAATCTACAGTAGTTATTCTATTCACAAATGTCACCACTACACATGCATGAACTCCTCAACTTCCTGGTGCAAGGTGATAATGGTGCACATCACTGAATTGGTTATATTGCCACCACACTATAAGTACTTATTTCAGAAGGATGTACCTCATCTGCTGTGGATGACTAACCCAGCCTGGGATCAGGGGTGGGGGTGTGGGGAGGCAGTAGCATTGGTTAGGGAAAGATCTGCTGCCAGCACTGTATTCAATTGCGTAAAGATGTCTTTTTTCTCTCCCTTCTAAATCTTGGTCTCTCTCCATGTAATATCCTTTGTTCTGGTTCTGCTGTAGTTGTCAATTCAGTTTCCATTTTATGAGTTCATGTTAACATTGGGAAGCCACATATTCTACAAACCTTGAGATCCAAGTGAACATTTCTGCTCACTTTTAAGAATCAAATTCACTTTTAGTCTGTAATTCCTAACATTTCCTCTATTTTTGATAAATGGCCAAGACAACTCCTTCCTGTGAACTGCTAGGACAGAGAAGCTGTTTGACTTCCATTATTTTAATGCCCACTATCATAGCTAAGCCGATGGAAGTAACTTGGAATATCCAAACTTCAAATCTTCTACAGTGCTAATAGGGTGCTACTGCATTATTTTTCTAATTCAGAGTTTAAATGTTCTTTAATTTTAGAAAAATATTTGAAATAGAACTATGGTCTTCAGAAAATGTGTTTAAGATGAGGACAAACTTTTAGACATTTAAATGCATATTACTAATAAAATAAATGATCATAATTTAGTTTTAGATTTTTAGCCTAATCACTATTGATAGAATATCCAAGTTCAAGAAAGCTAGTCAGGTTTACAATCCAATAACCCAATTTTGTTTACACTAGGAGATAATGAGATACTGGTCATCTTTTTAATTTGCAGGAGTATGTGTGTCCATAAGCATGAGCTACTGGCTGCTGGCTTACAGACTCACAGTTATGCCAACTATTCACTCTGTCCAAATGACTAGCCTTGAACACAGGCAAGGCCATTCCAAGGAGGTGTGCTGAAAGCCCAGTCTTCTCCTCAAATACCTTCCCATGGCCAAGCCAGTAATAACTTAACAGGTAGTATTCTCCAGAACCACAAAGAAATTGTGCGTATACTACTTCTCATGTTAACATACTAGTTAACTGATAACTTTGAACCCTGAGAGGAAGAGAAGCCAAGCAGGAGTTTTAGTTGGGGAAAGGAGCAGCTGGCCTTGGAGGTCGAGTTGTGTGTGACAGCATAAAAGTGATGAGCTTGGGGACAAGGGGCAGCAGAGCCAAAGCAGGAGTCAGAATAAGAGCAGAGGACAAGGCAGGGTAAATCAGTTTAGGGAAAATAAAAACACACTCAAAATTTCTCACAAGTATCTAAAGAAGACACTTCTTCAGATCTTCCTCTGAGCTCTTTTCTGACCCTCGTTACTTGCCTGGTAGTTCTCATCTGATTTTCACTTAAAACCAAGCATTAGGCCCAGGTCATTTACTTACAAAGTAATCTTTGGAGAGATGTTTACTATTATCGTTACTGCCTTCACAAAACTCACAATAACCATGTTGTTGTTGTTGTGTCATGGAGTTAATTCTGACTCACAGCAACCCACTACAACAGAGCAGAAGTGCCCTATAGGGTTTCCTAGCCTATAATCTTTACAAAAGCAGATCAGCAGGTCTTTTTTCCCCGCAGAGTGGCTGGTGGGTTCAAACTGCCAACCTTTTGGTCAGCAGGTGAACACTTAACCATTGCATGACCAGGGCTCCTTACAATAACCATTTTGTGGTTGTTATGTGCCGCCGAGTTGGACCCAACTCATAGTGACCCCTCTTTGGGTTTCCGAAGCGGTATCACTACGGAAGTAGATTGCCCATCCTTCCTTCCGAGGAGTGGCTGATGGGTTTGAACTGCCAGCCTTCTGGTTAGCAGTCAAGTGTCTTAGGCACTATGCAACCAGAGCTCCCACAATAACCATAGTGGGTGCCATATCAGAATTACATAATGAAGTTATGTCCATGTGTCAATGGACTGTGTTACATCTTGGGGTGACATCAGACTTCCTGGGCTCACCTACCATATATATGCCTATAAGGCAAATTTCAGTTCCATCCTTCCCCTACTGGCAAAAGCCAGTCACATGTGAGGGACAAAGGTCCACTCTTTAATCAACTGGCTGTGTTCATATGAGAATTTTATAGTAGCCTAATTCAAAAGGGTTTACAGCATGCTCCAGGATAGGAATTAAATAGTCACTATCCATGCTGCTACTTTCAAGTAATTACAGTGAAAGTGAAATGGAACAGATTTTGGATTCAGATAGACTCAGGCTCTAATTCTGGTTCTGATGCTTACTGGCATGCTACCCTGGGAAAAGCATCTAAACTCTTTGTGCCTTCATTTCCGCCATCCCTAGAAAGGGAATAAGAATACCTACACTTCATAAGAAATAAAGGTACTCAATAGGCACTCAATACATAATAGTATTTGTTCCTTTCAGAAACTGCATTTTCCTTGAGACAACAGAAATGGACTCAAAGAAATAAACTCATTAATCAACTGCATAATATCCAAGAGTAAGGATATTTTCTGAGAGCTTATAAAGAACTCTCATCAACAGAAGTGCACCCAGGATCTTGATGTGGTGAGATAATGGTCTTGTCTTCACCTCACCTGCTCCTTCCTGAAGACCAGAATATATACCGATGAAAATTTGGGCAACCACCGTCATATCAGAACAGGGCAAGGGGGTACAATCAAGGTGCTCTGATCCCTCAAAATCATTTGGCATTTACTTTTTGTAGTGATGTGAATATCACACTTTAAGTGTTGGGCTGCCTTTTGCTGCAGTCACAAAATCTCCATTGCATTTTGACAAAGAAGTCACAACCTTGATACCCCATGAGTGATTAATAAGGTGACCTTTACCTCCATTGGTGATTTTGGTCAGAGAGGTAATCCTGAATGACCTGGCAGCAGATGAAGCAGGTCTGAGCTTAAGCAGAGGATTGGCAAAGCACGAGCCAAAGTGTGGATGCACTTTGGGCCTCCCATGGGAGGCCTGGCATAGATGGCAAGGAATGAAATTCTCTGTCGCGTTAGAATGATTGTTTTAAAAACTTAATTATTTTACCACTGCCATGGAAACAGCTGATGTTTGAGTTTTACCAGTAAAGTCCTTATTATCCTTATTATCCAAACAATAAAAATAACCCTCCACTGCACTTTATCCAACCTTAAAATATAAATATGGGTTTTTTTAAAAATAATTCTTAATGTGACTATCCACTATAGTGTAGAATTCAACATCTCATATTAAAAAAGGAGATAAAGGAACCCTCTAAAATTGTCCTTGCAGCTTTGAACGTGCGATGGGGAGGTACTAAAGCATTTCCCCATCCATACTATGTTTAGTCATGCAGCTTCTGGGCAGACCTGGGTGATCTTAAAAAATGTGAACTCCTCTCTGGAGCCACATAAACTACTCAGCTCACCCAGGGGAGGGGAATGAACTCTTCCGGGGTACCATTTCACAAATTATTGCCGCAAAGAACATCAACTCTGTTCAGGAATATAAACTAGCCAACATGATTGAGACCAAAGTTATTCTATTTTGGTTCCATGACTGCTACGAATTACAATCTGCCCACAAGCCTGAGGAAAACAGAAAGGAGAAATAGGACTGCGGGTAAGCCACGATTCCAAAGAACATTCAAAATCATCTTACCTGTCTTCCTGATGCTGGCCATCTTGGGAGCTACAGGTGAGGGTGGGATGTTTGAATGTGAGTGTATGTGTATGAACTTCAGTGTGGGAAAGTGGGATAAGCAGAGGGACAGATGGGGTATAAAAGCAGGGTATAATTTTGTGAGCAGGCAGAGGTTATGCTTTCCTTAGGGTATATGCAAATGTTATGAATCAAATTAAAATGCAAGTAGGTCTAATCATTTTCTCAAACCATACATGACTAAACTAAATGGTACACTGGAAGAGAAAGTCCACCTTACATGGGTGCTGAGAGTTAAATATACATACACATTTTGATATCTGTTAAATACTGACCCAAGTCATGGTAATAAGTGATCTGAAAGCTCACTATTAAACTGTGTTCTGGAGAGGCAGTAACTGAGACTACATTTCTTCTTTGCATGAGGTATCCACAAAGCAATCAAATATAAAGTGGACATTTACCTCCAGGAAATCACTTTGAGATTACAAAGAGTGAAAAAATACCATTAAGAGCTCTTAGAAATACTCTCTAACCTCTACTATTACAGAGAGCTGTAATGAATACATTAGATAGATCCTAAAATGTAGGGATAATCTGTACTTTTTGTGAGTCAAGAACACACTTTTAATTTGCTTCCTGTTCTATATGGAGTATTATACAAAAACATTCTTATTAACATAAAAAAGATTCCTTAGATACTTTTTTAGAATCTGTGAAACTCTTCTCAGCACAGCCTTTCTCTGGTAGCAAACGTTTGTACTGAGCAAAAAAAATCTAAACTCATCCCACATATTCTCATGTGGTCAATATTATTTCAATAATCTTCAAGTTAGATCAATTCATTGTTTTCACTCCAAGTAAAATTCCACTACATTTCATTTAGTTTTTCTACGTGTTTTTCCTTGAGTTTTTGTATGCACTATGCACTCTTAGGTGGTAAGTAAGAAAAATGCATTATGAAACCACTAGATTCTAGAAATTAAATTGCTCAGGTTAATAGTGCTTCTTTATTAGTGGAAAGTATGTTTCATGCCCATAGAACACTACATAGCATCAAATGAAAAGTAAGCTACTAAAAAGCTCAAGATGGTGGTAAGGACATGCACTATATGGCAACCCTTTCAAATGGCTTCATTTGAAACATTCAGAAAAGAACTAGACTTGGTCACGAAGCCACAAACAGAGATCAGTAGGCAGCAAATAAACAAGGACTCTTTCCACCTACAGGAACTTGTCTTGGGAGATACAAGATAGAGATCCAGTCACACTACAGTGTTGTATGCACTGGGAGAGTTTAAAAAGGATATAAAATTAATTTATAAAATACCTAAAGTATGGTCCTTCAGTGTTTTTATTCACATCTTCTACCCACTTAGCTACATTATAGTCTCTTTTGAACCATGGGTTTAAATACCTGCAGAAAGCAATGGAAGGAACAAAGAAAGCAGAACAAGATAGAAAATCTGAAAATACACAGCACAAGCTTAGCAAGGATGTCTTCACCCTCCAAATGCAAGTGACTATGGCAAATAAACCAGGATGGATGTTGGGTGACTATGAGACAGTCTGTACAATGACATGAGAATAATCTCAGCTACAACAAGATTCAAGGCATTCTAGAACATATTCAACATTTCAGGGGAAGCCTCTTCCAGTGGCTTCCCAAGGTGAATCAGAAGCTCCCTTTCAATCACAGCACTGTCAGCAGTCCCATTCACCCACCTCCAAAGTGGCTTTTTCCAGGCCATCTCTCATTTGGCTTCTTGGTTTTCAAATGATAATGGTAATGGCTTTTTGAGAATATTCAGATGGCTGCAATTCCAACCTGGTGTTTGGGCATATAACACCCCAAGAACAATAAAAAGGAGCAAAGATCTCTTTCCAACATGAAAGGAAGGCGTTACACAGGCTCTGTCTTACACCCTAGAGCAGACCCCAAGCTGGAGTTAGTAAAAAAGCATGCTCTAGTCCACTCTGTGAAGAGCAGAAAGGGACCCACTCTTCTGATCCTGGAGCCCAACACACATAAAGTGTGGTCCAAATAGGCCTCCATGATCTTGAAGCTGGTTTTAGTCATTTAGATGCAGCTGCCATGTTCCTCCTCTTTGTGCACTCCAGACTAAGGTGTTCATATTTCCATTAGGAAATGGCTCTCAGAAGTTGCCTTCCAAGTGTCTGAACATGAATGACTGCCAGAGGATAGGAATGGCCTTATTAGCATCTTGATGAATCTGGTAGAGTCTGTATCAGAATTACTATGCAAAGGAAAATGTAAAAGGAGTAAAATTTGGGGCACAAGTTGGTTTCTTTTCAGAGAGTTTCCTTTGACTTTTCTCTGGGAACCAAGCAAAACCACATTCCTTTAGAATTTGCCCTTGTAAAACAATACAGATTGAATATACTCAATATTGGAAGAATGTGGAGGTTTTACTACATTTTCTCATTTTTACAGTATCTTCTAGAGATATTGATAGACAATTAAGAGCTAAACTCTATAAAATTTTAAGTTGTTGGAAACAAATAAGGAAAAATTATAAAATACACTATTTGGGGTTAAAGTTTGTTTCCTTCATATTTAATTTTCATGCTGTTTGTAAATACATTTAAATCAAGACTACATTTTCACAGATTATGTATGCGTATGTATCTGTCTATGTGTGTATGTATATATATATATATATATATATATATATAATCAGATTACTTTTTTCATAGTTCTTTTCCTCACTTTTAGCCATAACTAATGTCCTCCACAAAATAATATCAAGAAGTTCCCTCCTAAGAGAGGGGCTTTGTTGCCTTTTATGCTAATAAGATGATGTTTGCCAAAATAATGTCTCCTCACTCAGGGACAACTAAATAGTTTTGCCTTTAGCCACATCACTGCCAACTTGTGCTTTTCACAGAGATAGTCAATTAAAATTTGCATAATGGTTTCCACTGAGACTCTGAACCAAAAGTAAAAGTCAAAAAGCAAGTGCAGCCACAGATGAAGGCTGGTGAATGCTCTGGCCTGGGGAAAACCATAGAAAAGCCCATGCAGCTGTTATCAGGTGAAACATAGCCACACAGCAAACTGAGGCACCCACAGGCAGATGGCCACTTCCAGGAAACATCTGTTCCTTTCACTGACAATCTCAGAAGCCCAAAGGACAGGTGCCAGGGCTATTTCATGAAACCCACACCACATGGCTTGACTTGCACTTGATGGTGCTTTTCCTGTTTCAGGGAGTATTTCAGAAAGCTGTAATCAATGAAAAGAGCTCTCAAATGTTTGCTCCTTCTGGAATCTATCCATGAAACCATATTCACAGTGGGCTTCCTAATATCTCTACGTGGCTGGAGTGATGGGGTGTGTCAAATTCCTCTAAACCTGCCTGTGTGGCTTGACTTGGCTGATAGCGCAACATGCAAAAAAATAATGCATTAGACCAGGTAGGAGAGCTCCTTGTGTTCTCCAGGATGGAGAGGTGGAGGAAGAATAGCTGGCACTGGCTGGACCAGGAGCAGCTCCGAGCAGACATGGGGCTCAGTCAGAGATCAAATGGCCCTGTTCTCAGCCAAGGAAGGGACTTGGAGGGAGATTGAGTGGCAGCCCAGAATGAGAGGGCAGGTGGAGACTGACCTGTGATCCAGACTCCCTGTCTGGGGGCTGTCAGAGCCCCCTGGGCTTATGCCTTGGGATGGGACTGTCGGGGCGAGGGAGTGCCCAGGCTCAGGTGCGTGGGGCTCCCTCCTGTAAAAACACAATATATAATACAAAGTCTGAGCCAAAAAAAAAAATGTTTTTTACATTATGTACAACAGTGAGGAAGATGCAAAAGCTTTGAGTGGAAAAACAATACAGTACACAAAGGACATCTTATTTGGTTAATTAGCAGAGCATGCATTTTTGGTGCATGTTTTAATGCCTGTCCCTATTTTTCATCATCCTTTGGGATGATGAGATACTAAAGGGACTGTTGAAATAATGGACTTGATAACTGCACTTAATCTAAAAAATAAAGTTGTGCTTGTCTGTGGTCATTCTGCCCCTCTCAAAGCCACACAAATGATATTGCTAAACGAGAAACAGATGGAATTTTTTAACAACAACAACAAAAAAAAGTCAATATGATTCTTGATCAACTATACATTAGGAATCCTTGTAAGAATATATATAGAAAGAGACAGTTCCCATATAATCAGGGTATCTCAGAATATCGGTCAACTTCACAAACTTGGCTCCATTTAACATGGGTCATGTAACCCAAATCTGAAAAGTCCAAAAACTCCAAGGGAGTCCTTAATATTTTTCCCTCACAAAAATGATTCCATTTAACATCTTATTAACTATAACTTGATTATCTCACAGGAAAGATTTCATAGGGGCTATCTGTGATAACAGATATTATTTTTAATAACATGACATGATTAGAGATTTTAAACAAATTTTAAAAAATAAATGATCATGCTAGAAAATATTGTATGAATCTTGCTAAACACAAAGTCTTCTTTGGGTTCTAAAGTCATAGCTTTAACATAACATTGAATCTTCTTATTGTTCTTTTTCACTGAGGAATTTTAAAGCCATGTTACAGGAAATACTGTTAGGAAACTAAACAATACACAAAGGAAGTTCTCAAAAACATTGTGCAGTTTTATCTGTACTCCTGTAAGCAACGAAGGTAAGCTAAGGAGCTCTTACCATATGACCTCATGCAAAACAAACCAAAAAAACATTCCAAGAAGAGTTTATCAATCATGAGGCCTAAAGCATCCAAGCGCTTTGGGAATGTATAAGATAAACTCTAACAGATTAGTTATTTATGATGGAATTTTATGATGCCATTCTGGACCATGCAATTTTATCACTAAAAAAGTCTATTGTTTCTAAGGTAAAGTATCCTCTAGTAAACTTTGACAAGCCACTTACAAGACAATACCATTCAGCTGGAAGGTCCAAATTTCAGGGCAATGTTATTATTCCTGGACTGAAAAAGGCAGGGTATATGATGGGAAAGCTAAACGTAAGTTTCAGACAAGCAGTTAACAAATATCTGCTATTTGGATTTTTTAAGTATTAAGGCATGAAGAAGCAACAGAGATCCTGGGAATAATAACTACCACTTCAGTGAGAAATAATTAAATTTCTTTTAGATGGGCCAAAAAGTACAGGTGATCAAATTTGGTGGCAAGGTTAGTCCAGAAGGATACTAAGGGTGTGTTTTATTCCATGAAGAGAGAGAACAGTTTGATGAAGCTCTGTTATTTTCATACTTTCTGAAGTGGAGAAGCAAACAAAAAAGTGCATGGTGATTACTTCATTACACACTACTTTAATTTCTGACCCCCACTCCCACTAAAAATGTGTAGCTAACATTGAAAACGGATCATGTTGCATAATTAGCGACAGTGACTCTGTTAAGTTGAAGTAAACACCCTTTTAAATGTTCTCAGGAGGAAAATTTAAAAGGGCAACTTGTTTCATTAGTCTGAGAGAATGCTTAGATTGCAGCCATGAAGCCCTCCAAGCGGCGGTTTCAGGTCGTGAGCAGTATCATGCTCTAGTACGGTGGGAATTTTCCCTGATGCTTCCAGGCTGTGTGAATATTGCGGAGGGGAAGGGTGATCCTTTTGAAATGGCTGGACCCCGGGTGATGAGAAGAAAGGAATGTTATCAAAATTCCCTTCAAACATAGAACCAAGACACCACAATGGCAGGTTACTGGAGGAAAAAGCCTGCAGTGAGGGTAAGACCCCCACTATCAGTGAATATTGGTATGGGTACAGTTGCGGAGATGCCTATGTAAAAGAGAAAAGTCATGGTTAATTTTAGAAGGGCAAAAAGGAACTGAAAAGACAAAACCAAGGCCAGAGGCTTGGTTTATGGTTCTTTGACTAGTCAGTTAATTAACTTTTCACACTATTTGCACAGGACCTTGGAGGGCTTCTTTACCATTAGAGGTTCAGACTTACTCAGTTGAGTTAGACCGAGGTCTAAATCTTTTGCCTCTGATTTTCTTTCTGTTGCCTCCCAGGTTACCTGAAAAAGATGGTGTATGGCTAGATTGGCACATAAATAAACAATTATCCTAAATCTAATTATATAGGGTTTCAAACACATATAATTAACAACTGTTGTTGTTGTTATGTGCCGTGGAGTCGGCCCCAACTCATAGTGACCCTTCCTTGGGTTGTGAGGCAATATCACTATGGAAGTAGATTGCCCAGCCTTCCTTCCGAGGAGTGGCTGGTGGGTTTGAACCGCCAGCCTTCTTTCTGGTTAGCAGTCAAGTGCCTTAGGCACTATGTTACCAGAGCTCCTAATTAACAACCAGCACCACCCTAAAATACGGGGATTTGTTCCACTGCATAGCTTTCTCAGTGCGTCTAGAATACTTATGCTACTGAAGTCCTTCATTTACCACCCAGGAAAAAAAGAACTCTCATTGTAAGTGTCCTTCTCTCAGTTGAGAGAAGAGCTAATAAACTGCTTGCAGGAAAGAACAACAGAGTGTTGACAAACAGGCATCACAGGACAGAGTGTGGGTTATGTGGACAGGTGGATTCTGAATGCTGCCTTATACCTTGCCAAGAATTACTTCGAGGACGCCCATTTTCACAGATGTCTGAAATATGCTTTGTGTCTGGTATTCTTTCACTCCAAGAATGCGAAAGTCCATTTGACCTGAAATTAAAAATATTTATATATTGTTCAAAAATGAATTCACATTAATGTTTTGAAGTCAGTAAGCAAAACTTCTAAGCATTACTGTGTATTAAAGTAAAATAAAATCTGAAATGAAAGAATGAAGAGAACATGAAAGTCTTCATGAAGAAGGAAGGCAGAGTTACACAACATTCAATTTAAGAAAAGCCAAATACAATGGAACCCCATTAAAAGAGACAGGAATTAAAAATAATCAGATTATACTGCAGCCAATTTACACTCCCCAGGACACAGTAACCACATACAGCAAATTCACTACACATTTCGATTATAAAACCCTAGCAGCAGAGTCATAATGGGGTCCCACCATAGATGTTTCTTAATTGTAAAGCAATGGTTTCCATTCAAATATTATGAGAACATGGACTTCCAAGAGATTTCATTAGGATTTTCTCAACTAAACTTAGTTAACCTTTATAAAAGTACTATTTAGGTTTTCTTAAACAATAAAATTATTTTCTGAGAATTGGCATTTTCTCCAAAAATATAGTCCAGAAAACTGTAGTCTGTGTTAGTTAACTTTCCAATAACTAAACTCTATGAGTTATCATGGAAGTGTCTCTCACAAAGCCCATGTACCATTAAGCCTTTCTGCTATTTATTTCTTACCATCTTTAAAAGAATAGTCTGTAAGAAGCAAAATTTACACACCTACCTTGTACCAAATAAGCAAAGTATTTTGACAAACTATATATACTTCCAACCAAAAAACCAACTCACTACCACTGAGTCGATTCTGACTCACAGCGACCCTTTGGGTTTCTGAGGCAGTAAACCTTTACGGAAGTAAATTGCCCAGTATTCCTTCCGCGGAGTGGCTGGTGGGTTTGAACTGCCAGGCTTCTGGTTAGCAGCCAAATGCCTTAGGCACTACGCCACCAGAGCTCCTTCTGATTATACTTTCTGGAATTTTGCAGAGAGTGAGTCATCTATAAAAATTCACAATGGATTTTACTCTGTATAAGCATTAATCAGGAAGGAAAGTTAAAGGAATTTGCAAGAGCTGGGAATACTATTTTACATAGCACTGTCATAAACCTGAAGCACTGTTCTGGTTATATATATCCTAAGTATATAACATATACTTAGAAAAGTCAAATAATTTGATACAATTTTTAACTACTTAAAAATCATACCCTTTGAGATTTTGCTAAAATCTGTGAATTATTCAATGATATTTTAAGCTCTTCTGAGGTACTTTAGAAAATAGCACTAAAAACCTTTACCACATATCATTCTGATTAATTGTTAAAATATTTTATTTTAAAAGCAATCATCTATTGATGAATGAAAATAAATGGAACTAAGCTCAATTATTATGTATTAATTCCCTAATAGAGACTTTTTCAACATGGTTTGCTAATTATACAATGACTCATCATTTGCACAAAAGAATACCCATTGATGTCTCCACTTATTTACCATATTATTTAATTTGAAATTAAATATTTGACCAAGAAAAAAATACATATACTGAGAAATTTAAGTAGTGCTCTAATTTTTTTATTCTCTTAGTCAAAAACACCCCAATTAATTAAAGGGATAAATATTTGTCTTCTATAGGTCTGGACCTCTTGTACAAAACTAGCATTTCTACTTTAAGCTGTGTTATCCAAGTGGAAACAATGCTTCAGGTTTATGATTAGTGCTATATAAATTAGTGTTTCCAGCTCTTGCAAATTCCTTCAACTTTCCTTCCTGATTAATGCTTATACAGAGTGAGACCCATTGTGAATTTTTATAGATGATTCACTCTCTGCAGAATTCCAGAAAATATAACGTTTCCTCTCAATAAACTAGCAATTTTCCCTTCAATCAACAAAGTAACTAATGCAACCAAAGTAATCCATGAAGCTCCCAGATAGTTTCTGTTACTCATTACATTACATCCCTGTAGCAAACCTTAAAAGAAACTAGCTTTTCTTCAGTGTGAATGTAGTTCTCATTTTCTACAACATTCTAACTATTTAATTCTTCTAAGAGTTTATTTATGTAATTAAGCAATTATAAAGCATGCAGAATTTTAAATGGTCTTACACAACTTAAGATCCTAGAGAAAGAATATAGCATCAAAGTTTAAGACATAGAAATAATATATTAACCCCATCTGTACTATTAGAAAACTCAAGCAGAAATTAAACATACTTAATTTGGCAATCAAGCTGTAAGTTATAAAGGCCAGAAATAATCATCCCAGGAATAAAAGGCAAAATCATAATATTCAAATACATGATTCAAAGCAAAGTGATCTGTTTCACAGCAAGCTTAGCTTTGCTATATACTGCATTTAAAATTAAAAAATATTCAAGACAGCATTTATATTACCCATTTATTTTAATAATTGCTTTTATTGAAGCATGACAGTAACCTTTTTCTTTGACTACCAAACATGACATAAAGCTCACCATTAAAGTGTTATTCAATAACTACATATGTTTTCTTAAGCCATTATATGATTAAGTCTGCAACACCCTGGGGTTCATATATAGATTTAAGGTTGTCGTTTGTTCTGTTTTGGTTTTGTGGCCTGATTTGTAAAAGCACTGGCTCTGAGCATATGGCATTTTTAAGTAGAGTAATCAAAGAACAAAGGATACTATTTGTTAACATTCAAGAAAGAAGGAAGAAGTAATCAAACCTGCTGCAAAATAATGAAATGTTCTGACTAATGGAATAATGTGTGATGGAACAGGTAGAAATCTGAAAATGCGACAGAAAAGCAGACCTCTTCTTAGAACTAGATGCTGAGTTTGTGCTGACTCCCGGAGGAATGTCGCTATAAAAAGAGTCCTCAGCTGCAGGCTTTTTTACATAATCGCCCTGGGGTGACTGTCTAAGGCATAATAAACATTTCAGAGTCAGAAAACAAGACACACACATGAACACAGACATATGCAAATATTATTTCAGGAAAAAAAGAGGTAGGGGTAACGATCTACATGACTCAAATCCGTAACAACATGTAAGATTATTAATACAAGTGACAAGTTAAAGTCATTCTAACTGCAGAAGTCAGAAATGCAATCCCAGAAGTCCTCGCACTTTGGAGGAATACAGCTTTATTTAGGGAGAAAAACATGGAAAGATGAGTCTTTTGCTGTAACTTCATTACTCTTGGAGATGGTACATGCAGTTTTTTCTTTTCTTTTCTTTTCTTTTTAAATAAATTTGGTGCTGAAGAAGTGCTGGGCAAGACAGCTCTTGCCAAGATAAAGCACAATTTCTCCCCACCCCCACCTCCACCAGGGAATCAACTGTTCATGATTTCTAAGCACTACATAATATAACCTTGATTTGATCTTAAAACACATGATTAATTTCTAAACTATCTTCTATAATTTGATCCAAATCAGTCTTTGAGTTTTGTGTTCAATTTGGAGCTTCACTGTTCCTTTTACAGGAATATGAAGAAATTGAAGTAGACTCAAAGATGAATCAGAAAGGAAATTCTGAAACTGGAAAATGGAGTATGTGAAGGAAGATTATTTAGCAAGAACCCAAAAGGGTTGGAAAAATAACTGAATTCTTGCTGAACTATGGGAGGATGTTTATAGGCAGTTGTAGCTGACTTCAGTCTTCTATCTCCACTGTAGTTAAGAGTGCAACAATGGAGTATCTATTTAATCTGCACTATTAAATAAAGGAGGTCTAGCAGCATAGTGCCTAAGGCATTTCACTGCTAACCAGAAGCCTGGCGGTTCAAACCCACCAGCCACTCCTCGGAAGGAAGGTTGGGCAATCTACTTCCATAGTGATACTGCCTCGGCAACCCAAGGAAGGGTTGCTATGAGTTGGGGCCGCCTCAACGGCATATAACAACAACATTAAATAGGGTCACTCAGTCAACCGTCTTCTCACTGTGGCTAATCTGATCATTAGCCAAAGTGTAGGTCCCAAACAGTCAACTGCATCCAAAACTTGATTTAGTTTCATGGAGTACTATTGCTGAAGGTGCCACAAACAACTCCAGAATTGAGAATCTTAAACAGAGCTGTACTTTAAACAGGTCTCCAACAAAAGCACAAATTCACTAACTCCTGTTTCCATTTGTTTGTTCCTTAGTTACTTGCTCATGCAAAATTCTATCCAAAAATGCCACTTTGAGGTCTTTCCTTGGTTATACTTATTCCCATATTGTAAATGTTTAAAATCCATGATCATTCCTTCTTTCAAATGATTGAATATTCTCTCTCCTATCATTTCAATGCTATATAGCCACACAGCTCTATAATTCCGGAAAAGATCTCTTCCAACTGAGTAAAACACATACTTAAATTTATTTGATTACATCTACTCCTCTATTTCGACTAAAGAAAGTAGACTTTCTCACTACATTTGAATAAAAGGCTAATTTGACTTTAATTTTTTTTATATATATAAAACCAAAAAACCCACTGCCATGGAGGTCATTCTGATTTACATAGTGGCTAAGGCACTTGACTGCTAACCAGAAGGCTGGCGGTTCAAACCCACCAGCCACTCCTCGGAAGGAAGGTTGGGCAATCCTACTTCCGTAGTGATACTGCCTTGGAAACCCAAGGAGGGGTCGCTATGAGTCGGGGCCGACTCGACGGCAAACAACAACAACAACAACAGGACAGAATAGAAACCTATAGGGTTTCCAAGGCTGTAAATATATATGGAAGCAGACTGCTTCATCTTTCTCCCATGAAGCAGCTGGTGGGTTCAAACCACCAACTTCATGGTTAGCAACCAAATGCTTCAACCACTGAACCACCAGAGCTCCTTTTATATATCTTCCTTTGAAATACTTTTTAAGCCTTTGACTTCAGTTCATAATGGTTAACCTATCATTAAATACCATGAAACAAAAGTTTTAAAGGAAAATTAATATACCTTCCACATTTAAAGCATTAATAACACAGGATAAATGATTTATCTTCCTACATAAGAGATCTTTAATCCCTGGACTCATATTTTCTGTTTTATTCTGTACC